TGTCTGGTCCTGGAGCCAGCTTGGGAAGCCTGCCAGATCTGGTTTTGAATCCCAGTTCCGTGGGCTCATAGCCAAGGAGCTCTGGGGAAGTCATTTACCTTTGTCACGGGTAAAAGTAGGATAAGAATGCCCACCTTGGAGAGTTGTCCATTCGTATGATTATTTGCTCATTTGGTCACTCATGCATTCCTTCCACAGATATTGATTGAGTGCTCCTATGTGCCCTGGGTAAACAAGTGGCGTGGTGACAAGGACACATATGTAATATCTTAATCAATAAAAAAATATATTTTAAAAAAAAAAGTTGAGCTCATCTGCTAATGTGCTCTTATTCTCCAAATCAGCCCTGCCAGTATTATAGGGGGACCTCCACCTATAAAGAAATACCTTTTTAACATTAAAAACAGGGTGATTTTTATATTTGGAAACTATAGGAATGCATGTGTGTTTGCATCACATACTTCCCCCAGAAAGATCGCGTCGTTCACATTCTTTCATAACCTGCTTTCCCCGCGTCCTCCAGGTCCAGGCAGGAAGCGGGTGATGTACCCAGCAGGTAGTTAAAGAGCTGGACGGCCCTGGTCAAGTGCTCAGTTGGTGGGAGTGTTGTCCCTACAGACCAAGGTGGTGGATTCGATTGCTGGTCTGGGGCACATACAAGAATCAAGCAGTTAATATGTGGACGGGTGGAACAGGAACTCTCCCTCTCTCTCTCTCCTTTTCTGTCTCTCAAATCAATAAATTTGTTTAAAAATTTAGAAAGAGTTTAAAGAGACTGGACTCTTTGCAAAGGTGTAGACAGGGTTGAGATGGGGTGGTACCCCAGGATCCCAAGAGCTAACTATAGGGCAAGGCCCTCACCACCCCTAAGTCTGAAGGGATAAGTAAAGAGAGGAGTTTCCAGAGCCCATAAAGTCACCAAAACTTGGAAACACCCACGGAAGTGGTGGTTTTCGGAGGAGGAAAGTAGCCTGCCCAGCTTGGCCAGGCGGGAAGGGACCGGGGAGTCCAGAGCCTCCTGTCTCCCAGGGCCAGATCCAGCCCGAGACCATGGGCAGGGCCACTGACACACGAGGTCACAGCAGGTGGAGGTAGATTTGCACAGCACAGCTTCCTCGTGTGAAACAGAGGCAGAGAGCCTACACGCATGCGTCGATCTGTCCACTCATGCTGTGAGGTCGTGATGAGCTTCGGGTAAAGAGGAAGGAAGAAGCGTGTTGGGCCGGCAGCATTGGTAGGTTCGTTTTCACTCCACTCTCCACCCTCTCCCCTCTCCAGAACTCCATGAAGGTGATGTTCAAGTGCCTCTGGAAGAACTGCGGGAAGGTGCTGAGCACCGCGGCCGGCATCCAGAAGCACATCCGGGGCGTCCACCTCGGGTGAGCACCTCCCTCCCGCTGGGCGCGGGCTCCGTGCTGCGGGCGGCCGCCCTCGGGCCCAGCCAGCACCTGTGCCTCACAAGGGCTCAGGGGGAGTCAGGAAGGGCCTGGGCCTCCGGAGGGAGGGGGGGCGGGGAGAAGGGAGGCAGATAACAGAGGCCTTGACCGCAAGTCGTACTGCACTGAGGGGTGTCAGGGACTGCTCTGCACCCGGTTTCCTCTGAAGATGAGGTTAACAATACAGTCAGCCCTGCAGGGGTCACATGTGAAGGTCAAAAGTAAAACGTGGGCGAGCCATTTGTAAAAGTACAGCAGCAGGGCAGGGTAGGACCCCCCTGAAGATGTCTGTAAATGTAGATGTGCTTTTTGCCCCCCTGATGGAGAGTATTCGTGACTTAGAGCCTGAAAAGGGTTAAGGCACCACTGCCCATCAGAGCTGCTGCTGCCATGGCCGGGACCTCTGGCGCCCTGCCGCTGTCGCTTTCCTTGTGTTTTATGAGAACATTTCTCAGGAAAGAAGCCAAAGCTTGGAGCCCGTTGGTGAGGCCCTCCCAGGGCAGCGGCGGTTCCCAGTCTTGGCCTGTGGGCTCTGGGTCCCTCTTGTCCAGGGATCTGGGACTGAAAGGCGCCCTTGAGAAGCTGCAGTCCTGACTGGGGAGCAGATGGCAAACCCAGACACATGCCGAGCCCCAGGTGCTTGGGCACAGAGGAGTCCTCCCCCCAGGATGAGAAATGGACACTGCAGTCTCTCTGCCCCGCAAGGAATCAATGTAGGACGTGCAGCATCCATCGCAGTGGAATAGAAAGGAAATAACCAGGTTCTGGCATGATTTCGCTGACCTGCGTGGGTGGGGCAGAGAAGGGACCTCCTCCCCATCCATGGGGCTGATGTCTGCGCACGCAGCCCGTCCCTCCCAGAGCACAGCGTGCAGGTCACCCAGTGGGTGTGGCCCAGGGTCGCCCTGCACCCTCTGGGCAGCCACCCCGGTCCTGCTCCTGAGGACTCCAGGGGGGAAGTCGGGCGTGTCTCCCTGACCTCATGTCAGAACGACCTCGACAGAAATAGCTCCGCCTCTTTAAAGGTCCAGCGAGAACCTCCCGAAGCCACGCTCAGGATGTAGGGCGGCTGTTGTCAAGCCCATCTGCCCAGGGAATCGAACCCTGTCCAGCACCGCGCAGAGCCGTGCCCGTCCGCCCCACAGAGTCTGCAGAGCAGGTGGCGCCAGCCGTGCCCTTTGAGCTCCGGATGCTGTCACGGTGGCAAAGTCATTGCTCCCCGGGCTCCCTTTGTGCTCTGCTCTACAGAGGCCCTGGGACTGGGGTTCGCAGCCTGCCAGCACCCCCAGGACCGCAGCGTTCACAGGAGCTCTCGCTCTCTGGGACTGGGGAGAGGACCGCCTTCGCCTTAGACCATGAGCTCAATGTCATGACGATAGGACAGGGGGACATTTCATGTTGGTTGTGGACACCAAAGCCCTAGAAAATGTTGTAAGGAGGCAGTAGAGGTTAAAACTTACAGAAAAAGTAAGTAATTTAATAATGTGAATTAAATAAAGAACACCGCCAGGGGGCACACTGAGTGAAGTCCTTAGCCTGACCTTCAGCATACTTCCCAGACTGGGTTCTTGTCTCTCCCCTTCCCCTCCCACTGTCGGGGCTCATCTGGGTCGTCCATGTTGAGCGATCCCTTTCATCTCCCATCTCCGGGCAGGGCGGGGGGGCGGCGGTGGGGGGCGTTAACCAAAGACCTCATATACACATACGCATACCCATAGACACAGACAATAGTGTCTTGAAGGCCTGGGGGGTGGGGTCAATGGGGGAAAAAGGGGGACATCTGTAACACTTTCAACAATAAGATAAATTAAAAAATAAAATGACAATTTCAAAATGTAAAAAAAAAAAGGAAGAAACAAAAATATTGAGACTCCTCAAAGCCTCCATGGCTCCTGTCACATTCAGAGCGCTCCTTCGGCTGCAGAGCCCTCTGCCCTCCCCTCCGATGTCTCCTCCCCCCCTCCCACCAGCCCCTGGCCTCTGCCTTCCCCTCCCCCAGCCCCTGGCCTCCACCCTCCCCTCTGATGTCTCCGCAGCCCCTGGCCTCTGCCCTTGGTGGAAGACACCAAGCACCCCCACCCCACCCTGCCTGCCTGCTCCTCACTGTATTCTTCCTGTGGCCAGGCTTCAGCTCCCCTGACCTCATCCAGGTCTGTTCACATCACCTCTGAGCTCAGTGTAAAATACAACCCATCATTTACCTGCTTACGGGCACTCGTATGCTGCTTAGTTTTCTGTCTGGCATTCATTGGTCCCCGATGCATTAAACACCTATTTACTGACGGCTCCCTCGTCTGCCTCTCCCACTAGATGTCATTTCCATCAGGGCAGAATCCATCTACGACTTGGTCAGGCCCTAGGAGAGTGCCTACACAGAGTAGATTCTCAATGAATTGTTGAATAAGTAACTGCTTGGTTGATTGGATAAATTCCTGTAGAGGTCAAGGAGGTCTTCCCTGGGAGTGGACAGTTGAGTGTCGCAGGATGCGTAGAGTTTTCCAGGCAGACACGGGACAGGAAAAGCATTCCACACAGAGGGCACAGCCGTGGGAGATGGCGTGGTCTGACTGTTTTGCTGTCCTTTGCATTAGGCGTGCTGGGGACTCTGATTACAGCGACGGTGAGGAGGACTTCTACTACACGGAGATCAAGCTCAACACGGACGCGGTGGCGGACGGACTGGGCAGCCTGGCCCCGGCTTCGCCCTCCCAGTCCCTGGCTTCACCTCCCACCTTCCCCATCCCGGATTCAAGCAGAACAGAAAGCCCTGGTGCCAAAACCGAGACTAAACTGATGACACCCTTGAGCCGCTCGGCCCCTACCACCCTCTACCTCGTGCACACCGACCATGCTTACCAGGTGCCGTGCACGACCCCGAGTGACACTTTGCCCCTGACCAAAAGCAGCTGCATTCTGCCCTAGGAAGAGAAAAACAGCATCCCACACTGTAGCCCCGTAGCGGAGTTCATTGTCATCATAAAGTTCAGTCAACTTGTTTCCATTGTTCTCTTATTGCTAGGTACCTGATCTACCCAGTTTTTTCATTAATAACTCTACTATGAACATCTCTGTGCCCGTAGCTTTTTTTTCTTTGAAGTCACAGAAGAGTAATTAATGAGACAGAGGATGCCACCTGAGCAGGATGCTGCTGCTAAGCATTGCCAAACACTTCCGTGGTGCCAAAGCCACCACCATCACAACTGCACTGAGCCTTCGAAAAGCTAAGCCTGTGCAGGAAGAGTTTGCCACTTACTTAGCAGACGGAAGCTCAAGAGCAAAGAAATAGAGCGAATTATGAGATTTGATGGTGCAATAAATTTTATTCCTGACTCGTCATGTGGGTCAAAAAGAATAATTCATTCCTTTGTTCATGTTTGCATTTAGGTCCAAAATCATGAGCTTGAACCAACTTATTGAACTTATTTTGTTTATCTATAAAGTGGGTTGGAACACACACTTGATGATCTTCCTGAACCCTGTATTCATAATATTTGGGATTTCTCTGTCTGTAGATATTATAAATGTTCAGCATAGAAAATACTAAAAACTGAAGCAGAGAGAGAAAATGTATCCTTAATCCCAACGACAAGAAAGACATATTTTTGGTATGTCTTTCAAGACTTTCTCCTATGTGTATATGTATATGTATAAAAAACTAAGGAATCTATTGTAGTACTGTTTTTACTATGCCTTGTGGGTTTTGTTCCACTGAATATATCACAAATGTGGTGGGTTTTTGTTTTTTTAAATCCTCACCCAAGGATATTTTTTCCATTGATTTTTAGAAAGAGTAGAAGCCGGGAAATAGGAAGGGAGAGGTAAGGGGGAGAGAGAGAAAGAAAGAAACATCAATGTAAGAGAGATACATTGATTGGTTGCCTCCTGCATGCACCCAGACCAGGGCCCAGGAGCGAACCTGTAACCCAGGTATGTGGCCTTCACCTAGAGTCGAACTCGAGACCCTTCCATGCACAGACAGATGCTATAACCGCATAGTCACATGGGCCAGGGCTCATGAACATTTTTGCATGTCATTGAGTATTCTTCCACAACATCATTTGTAATGGCTCAGTTGGTATATCATGATTTATTTACCCATTTCCCTATTACTAGACATTTGTGTTTCCAATTTTTAAAAATATATAATACAATGAACATCCTTGTATCCATTTCCTTAGAATGAATTCTAGAAGTAGAATAGCTAATATACAGAATTCTAAAATTTTTTATATATATATTGCCAAATTACTCTCCCAAATGTTGTACCAATTACGCCCCACCATCTCTGTATAAAAGTGTTTGTTTCCAAATTTGATAGTGAGAAATGACTAGTATATCTCACAACTGTCCTAAAATTCAGAAATCAATAGTCAAAAACCATCTCCTTTGATACATTAGATAGATTGCTTAATATATAAAGAATTTCTTTCCAGCTACTCTCTTTGACCATGTTTCATCTCTTCCTATCAGATAACTAGTCTAAGTTATTAATACAGCTGAGATAGTTTCTGAGGCCCCACCTTGGTAAATGACAGCTAAGATTGAGGAAAAACCTTTCTTAACAGTTTTCTCTGTACCGTGCCACGCCCCCCTGACCATTTCTGTTTGCTCTGTAACAGGCCACGCCCCCCGTGACCATCCCAGGATCGGCCAAGTTCACCCCCAATGGCAGCAGCTTCAGTGTCTCCTGGCAGTCTCCTCCAGTTACCTTCACAGGCACTCCAGTGAGTACAAATACAAAAAGCCAAATGTAAAGTTAGAGAGCAAGCAGAAGACACATAAAGTCAGAGAACACCTTTAGATACGTGCGACGGAAAAACAGCCCAGAAGGCTGGAAGCACCTGTTCCTTGCGTGGAATGTGTAAACTCCTGAGGAAGGCTTCTCATGGCTCCGACAGGCCAGCTACTCTGTCAGATAAAGAGCGTTTCAGCTGTTGATAAATATGTCAGATCAGAGTTTTTTGTTGGTGTTATATTTGCATGTTTTCAAAAGGCTTTATAAAATCATCTCTGAGCTCAGATCCTGAACATTAAAAAAACACCTGTACATAAATGGCATTTATCATTATGAGTACATTCATAATATTTATGACTTTGAAATTATTGTTTGCCTGTATGTCATCTTGATGGTTCAAAAAAATAAAAAATTAAAGTGACTTTTTGTCCCCAAAGCCTGAATAATCCGTCCATACGGATGTGTAATCCTAATATATAAAAACCCTGGGTCTGTCACGACCAGAGGCTTGACCAACCAGAGGTCAGTTCTGCAGACAGCACTGGGTTGCCGTGGCTGCAGGCATGGTGCCCCAGCACTGACTGCTGAAGGGGCTGTAAATCAGGCCCAGAGAGAGGCCTGAACAGAGAAGTGGGGTCTGATCCGTAGCCTCTGTGGCAGCTGTTGATAAGCATTTGCCTCTCTCTTTCTCTCCAGCAGCCGAGCCTCCATTTCTCTCCAGGCCTCCACTGGGGCTGCTGATCAGCCCCGCCTTTCTGATCAGACCTTGTTGATAGGCCCAGAAACGCTGACTGGCATAGAAACCGACCAATCAGAACCAAATCTGGGTCAACTGTGAGGAGCCAATGGCTGCCTAGGAGGCAGAGCTTTTGACGCTGACTGGCATAGAAGCCAACCAATCAGAACAAATCTGGGTGAAGTGTGAGGAGCCAATGGCTGCCTAGGAGGTGGAGCTTTAGATGCTGACTGGCATAAACAGTCTCTTGGGGGCAACCAGGCCAGCGGCAGTTGGCAACCAGGCCAGCAGGGGCAGCAGTAAGGGGCGACCTGGCTGGTGGGGGGGCAGTTGGGGGCAACCAGGCTGGCAGGGGAGTGCAGTTAGGGGGGACCAGGCTGGCAGGCAGAGCAGTTAGCGGCAATCAGGCAGGCACGCAGGCAAGCAGTTAGGTGCCAGCAATCCTGGATTGTGAGAGGGATGTCCGACTTCCGGTTTAAACCAGCAGTCAGACATCTTCCAAGGGGTCCCAGATTGGAGAGGGTGCAGGCTGGACGAGGGATACCCACTCCCCAAGTGCACAAATTTCGTGCACCAGGCCTCTAGTTTGAAAATAAATGAGTGCTAAAATATGCCATCAGGTTTAAGCAATATATAAGAATTTATTTGACATATTAACTGATTACTGTCTGATAAGTTGCCATGAATTAACCTGATTTCTAACCATTCGTTTAAAAGTATATTGGGCCCTAGCTGGTTTGGCTCAGTGGATAGAGTGTCGGCCTGCAGACTGAAGGGTCCCAGGTTCAATTCCAGTCAAGGGCACATACCCAGGTTGCAGGCTCAATCCCCAGTAGGAGGCAGCTGATCAGTGATTCTGTCTCATCATTGACGTTTCAGTCTCTCTCTCCCTCTCCCTTCCTCTCTAAAATCAATAAAAATATATTTTTAAAAAATAATAAATAAATAAATAAAATACATACTGGGTCTTTATAGGTTATAAAGAGCATTCATAGACCCCATACCATTGGTGTGCGCAGTGGTTTCTACCTCCTGGTAAGATCCAGAGACTTGCTTGTGATAATGGATATTCATGTTATTTCCTCCTTTCCACCTCTCTCCCCAAGGACCTCCCAAAAGATTCTTATTACCAACCCCTGGAAACTCCCAGTGTCGTGGCCACTGACTAGCTTTTCTCTTCTTGAAAAAGGGAGATCATGAGGCTTGGACTAAGAATAGACTTTAAGACATTATTCAAAAGAAAATAAGTGACCAAGGGCAAAGTGGAATGCCCAAGGCAAAGCCATGAGGGTGTGTAAGGCATGCATTGTTGCTGGTCTTTTCTGTGGGAGATGCATTTACACTCTGCCGTGAGCCCCACCCCATCCATTTTAACGTGTGCTCTCTGTGAAGGAGGCACTTCACCTCTACGTCTAAGATCAGGGACCACTGCCCGCATCGCAGAGGCTCCCTGAAGGTATGGCACGGAGAACCTGGCCGCCAGCTCTGTTCTCCCTGTCCTTCCAGGTGTCACCGACACACCACCACCACGGGGGCGCAGGAGAGCAGCGGCAGCACGGCCACGTGGTCTTGTCCTCCCCGCCCAGGGGGACGGTCGGCCTGAGGTAGGATGCCCACACGCCTCGTCCCAAGGGAGTAGCTGAAACGCAGAACAGCGAGGAACAGAAACCGGAGACAGAGTCTTCCGTGAAATGTCCCCGTCATGGATGCGACGCCCTTTCTCTTATTCCCATGGTTTTCCCCATCCACTAACTATGAGTGCAAACTCGTTGCTTTGTTGTTGTTGTGACTGTTCAAAGTAAGTTCTCCTACAGAACAGGCCGTGGGGACGACTGGGTCTCCCAGCGCCCTGTGCACGGACCCCTGTAGTAAAGGAACCGCAGGGTAGACTTTCTTCCCAGAGCCAGGAGCCCCTTAACCAGAGTGCCAGACACTTGAGAAACAAGAGAGCACTTGAAAGTACCTCTTTCAAAACTCAAAAGAGTATGCTCTCTGCTGGTATTTCCCGTGTGTACATGTTTGCCTCAGTGCTATGCACATGCCAATGTCATGTCCGCAAGTGGGCAAATAGGACCTTAGGAATTAGGGCAGCCCAGAGTAACAGCCCCGGGCCATGGCCCCAAAGCCACCCAGCACACGGGAAGGCCTGGCCCGCAGAGAACCCTGCTGTTTCCTGACTTTTCTCCATCTTTCGAGGGGTGTCCAGCCCCTCCAGCAATGCCCATTGAGTTCCTCCCGCTGACTACATGCCCTCCCTTCGCAGGAAGCCTCGGGGAGAGGGCAAGAAGTGCCGGAAGGTGTACGGCATGGAGAACCGGGACCTGTGGTGCACCGCCTGCCGCTGGAAGAAGGCCTGCCAGCGCTTCCTGGACTGAGGGGTTCGGCCAATGGGCTCAGCCACCAGGTCGCAGCCCCCGGGTCATGGCCACCAGGTCACGGCCACCCGGACTGTGGTGCACGGCCTGCCACTGGAAGGCCTGCCAGCGCTTCCTGGACTGAGGGGTGCAGCTGTGGCCACTGGGCCTCCCGCCCTCACTGCCACGGCAGCTTTGGGAAAGCGCTCTTCCTTCAAACAAAACACACCTGAAGCCCAGGAAAAGCGCGTCCAGGAGGCCTGGTGGAATTTCAGAAGAAAAAAGGCCACATGGCCCGGTGCGCTCAGAGCTGCTTCCCATGCGCGAGAAGGAGTCCCCGTCCTCGGCCGGGTCAGGCCTGGAAGCGGTGGTCTCCGCAGCACTGGGTCCCACGGAGCCATGTCCCCTGGAGGAGGCGTGTTTTGATGAGCTTCCTGAAAAATGCCGTTTCGGGGTGGGGGACACCCAGGGGAAGCCGCGGGTGACTGTGGCATTTGTGTCAGGACAAGACTTGCTTTCCTGCGTCTTCCCCGTTCCCATGGACTTCTTGGGCAGCTCTGGCATCTTTCCCGTGTCTTTCCTGTTTGTTTTGTTTTGAAGAATGGCCCCGCTTGGAGGAGTGTGGGCCTGCAGGCCCGATGGCGAGTGGGATCACCAGCCGACTGCGGCTCTCATGCAGCTGTCACCGAGGGAACACCTTGAAGTCTTCCCGGGACCTGGAGAGCCCTTTCCAGGCTCCTCTGCGGCTCAGCTCCGCCCGACCCGGCGGGGAGGCCGGGAGCCTGGCGCTCCTTCCAGGCGTGTGCAGCTGGGGCTGCGGGCCGCCCTCGCCTGGCCAAGCCGCTGCCGGGGCACCGGGCTTTCCCTCCAAGCGCCCACTGTCTGTCTGAGAAAAGGTCAAGAACTCAAGCGGGCCCCGCGGTTTGCTCTGGACGGCAGAGCACAGCCTCCGGGCTGGGTTCGGAAAGCCGCGAGGTCGGCAGACCCACCGGTTCTGTGCACTTTGGTAGGTTTTATGCTTTAGCGCATCTGGGGGACGGGTTCGTGAGCAGCTAAGCGCTTTATGGGTAAAAGGGAAAATCCAAACCTTCGTTTTGCTTGTGAAAACAGTGGAGCTGTTTGTCAGGAATTGGCTCAGAAGGGAACCTAGAGACACCAAAGGAACATGCACTGTAGGGCGCTCTCGGCTTCGCAGGGCGGCTGGTGCTGTGCTCGCTCTCAGGCTCTCAGGCCTGGTGGGTGGCGGCAGCGGCGGGTGCTGGTGCTGGTGGTGGTGGTGGTGGTGGTGGTGGTGGTGGTGTGGAGAGAGGGAAGTCGTGTCACGCCCTATAGATTCCTACCCCCTCCCGATTGCCCTGGAAGGAGTCACTTCCCCTCCTCCTATGCAAAGAGGTACGAGCACCTTAGGGATGACTGTGAGCCGGGAGCGGGGCCAGCACAGGAATGTGAAAGGACATTGCACAGGGAAAGTGTAATATCTGTCTGGAGGCTGACATAGCCTTTTGTAAAGAGTAGGAAGAAGTCGTGTAGAATAATAGTTACTCTTCTTATACATGAGGAGGTTCTGTGGTGTGACATCCACAATCTATATTCTTATATTTTGGCAATTTGATTTTTTAAACTCTCATATGACTTTTTAAACATGATTCCTTCGAAGAAATCCTGTTTTTCCCCTCCATTTATATTTTTTCTTTAAAAACACTTATTTCAAGAGAGTAGGAAAAGAGCTTATTTACTATCACGTCTGGAAGCTCCCTCAGCACGCACCAGGGCATCAGCTATAATGTGAGTTTCGTACGGACGGGGTTGGCCAAGAAAGGGCGTTATTTCAAATGCAGACATGGCTTTGCACCCCCTGCCCTAGTGGGTCTTTTCTCCTCCCTGTGCTTCCCTATAGGTGCCCTCGCTGTGAGCTGGTGCTGTGGCCGGTGCCGGCGCCTGAGCTGGGGCGGGGAGTCCCCGCGAGACCAGGGCTGGCCAACATCTGATCAGGTTCCCCACACACTGAAGCGGTGGGGGTGCTATTGGCGCAGAGGTTTCCTCTGCAGCACCCCTGGCTCTTGATCCTGGGATGAAGTCACTAATCACAAATGATTAAAGTGATGAGGGGCTTCATCCACCACCACCACCCCCACACACAGAACTTTGGGATGCAAGGGAGAGACGGTGCTGAGGGCAGCCCTGCACCTGGTCCTGGAGACACCGGGCACGCGTGGTTCTGGGCTCTGGCCGGGGGTTAGCCAGCACAGGCACAGCAGAAGGTGGAGCGGAGGGCCCTTCCCTAGGAGATCCTTGCCTTTCTGATACCTTCTTACACACGCCTCCCACCCACGGGGGCTCCTGGCTCCCGCCAGGTGTGCACAGAGCCCCAGTACCGCCCTGCAATGGGGACCCCCTTCCCTGTACTCAGGCACCTGGTAACTAGGGGACCACCGATCTTTGCCTGGCTGGCCTTAAAAAAAAGGAATTCAATTTCTTGCAGGCCACCCAGGAAGCTATGAGTTGCAATATACAACACTGATTGTAAAAGCTAAATTTTAAAAATGTAGAGCTATTTTGTTATACTTTGGAACTAAATGAAGTGCCAAATTAAGCCCGACATTCACTTCCTCCATCTATGGGGCACCACGTTCCTCTGTCCTCACTTGGTGGAGGGCGGAGGAAGGTGGGTGGGAAGGGGTGTCCCAGGGCCCCCGTCTGCTGAGCCGGGGTCCGTCCATCATGGGGACAAGTGCTGCTCAGCCCACCCCCCACGCTGTACCTGACCCCTCAAGGGCGCGGCCACCTGCAGTGAGCAGAGAGCGCCTTCCTCTGAGCCAGGGGTCCGCCTCTGGACGCAGCCCATCCTCCCTCCC